CATTCCCTGACATTGGTAACAAAATATATGTAAAAATTAATTTAAAGCACAAGGTCTTTAGCTTGTTTCTGTATGAGGTTTAGTTGAATGAACAAATTACAGAGAACCTTTGATGATAAATCATATAAAGCCAACAGTTTATCTTGATCTTTCAAGATTTCAGAAAGGGTCTCTTCATTGAATTCCAGTACTTGTTGTAAATCTATCTTAAGCTTGTTTCTATCGGTATGAAATGCTGGACATAAGAAGAGAATGTGGTCTGGTGATGCACAAACTAATGTATTTATGCTGCAGGTGTTACACCACTTAGACACTTGAAAATTGGATGAATATTTTTTTCTCATACAATGAAAGACCGATTGATACAAGCCTGATGTGATTCTGCATATCAATGATATAACTGTACAGTAAAGTTTGTTATTAGTGAAGATTTTTGCTTAAAACTCCATTTCTTGGAGAAATTTAAAATTAAATTCTGGCAGTTATTGAAAGATGCTGTGCAATGTCGATAACTCTGAATGAATTGGCTGATTAATTCTACGAGTATGTCTCTTGATGCTTGATAATGTGCATCAGATGTTGTATATGCGATATTCGGAGGTGTTCCAACTTCTTTTGCTCATACAATTGTATTTTCTCTCGGATTATTTACATACAGTACAGCTTTACCCCTGTTATTGAAAAAAAGAGGAGGCTGCGGACAATAAAACATCGTGTACAGGGACAACAGGCTTGGAGGTTAATGGAGAGCACCTCAAGATTATTTGATGTTTGTTTCAAATATTGCTATGCGGGCACATCACTACGAAAAGAAGACGAGGCATTATAAATACTGTAGCTTTGCATAAGGCTACAAATGCTTCTATAGAATATTCAGGAACGCAATGATAAACTATACCAAATCCAGTTGACATGAGTCTCGAGTCGTCTGAACCCCCGAGGCTCTCAGTCAAAATGATATCGAAACCCTCCGTTTAAAAAAAAATGAAAATTCCATGAAACTCGGCCGAACATTTTCGTTCATCTCCACATAAAATCAAGAACTCCCGTCTGGCAAGTACTGTGCGCAAATTGAGTTTTTCCCCTCGCGTCTTGAATAAGGAGCTTTGCGCGCGACAGTGCCATGTTTTTAGATTTTTTTCAAATGGATCTATACAATTAGTGATTTAACTATTTTGTTTTTTTTGTTTTGACAGGTTTGAGCTGGCGGAAGCCGCAGTGTCGCCGAAGAATTTGTCGTCCCAGTTCTTGGCCATAATCATCGCCTCGGTCGTGGCAGTCGTCGTCTTCTCCTGCGTTCTGATTTTCATTTGCCTCTGCGTCCGACGTCGACGTTCTGGCAAACGAGACCGCAAGTCGCCTCAGAACGGATCCAGCAAGAAGCAAAACGGCACTTTGGTGAGCCATCATTCAACCGGCAGTTCCATTGTGGGCATCAGCCCGATGAGACCCGCTCCACTGACCCGGGACTCGGGTTGCGCCTACGAGAAAATCCCGGATGTGGAGACGAGGATCGGGGACGATGAAAAGAGTTTCGACGACGAGTTCTACATGAAGAACGGAAGAGGACTGGTTGGAGGTGTTGGCGGTGGTGGGACGATGATGAAGGGTTACAATGGAGAGTCTAGTTCGAGGAGCACGAGAACCCCGGAGACGGCTTCCTTGCATTCCGATCATCCGCCGAGTCTGTACAATGACGCCTCTGCGAATTTCCCCGACCTTCTGAACATTGCGCAGACTCGAAAGTTCTCGAGGTGAGAATCAAGAAATACTCGTGTACAGTATTGTAATGGTCGAACCCCGAGATACCTACGTCACTACATGCTGGTGCTCGACCCTTGGCCCTATATCGGAACGTCCGCATGTCAGGGCTTGTTTTCCCATAGACTTAAATGGGAACATATTTAATTGGTTCATTTGTTCATAAAAAGTCAGGAACAAAGTCCCCAAAAAATTGAATAAAATCGTTTCTCAACTGCAAGATGCAGAAAATAAATTTACAGAAGAAAAACACACAGAATCCAATCTTTTGGCATTAGAAGGAGCTCAAGAAGCAAATACAGTGAGACCCCCAGACGTGGACATAATTGGTGCATCAATAGTGTCCCTAAGTTGAATTGTCCCTAAGTTGAGTCTTGTTTTCCCATAGACTTACATTATATAATTTTTAATTGGTGTTTTATGGAAGAAATATTTTTAGAATTTCCTGAAAAAATTGTTTGCCGCTTGAATTTGAATTAGTGAATACATTTTCACCTCAATAAGAAAATTTGGAGCATTGAATAGTGTATATCTGTACTGCACATTGAAATGTTGGCATCTACAAAAATAACATTCAAGTGAAAAAAAGTAGAAGTCCCTCTATGCTTGAGGTAATTTTCTAAAATTAGCTAGATGGATTGTAAATTGGTGAAAGAAATTCCCAAGAACTTTTCTTGCATCAATTTTAGGGATGGAAATATGTGTTTCTTTTAATTTGGCCTGAAATTTATTTGCAATTTTATTGCAAAATGTCCCTATGTTGAGTCAGTGTCCTCATGTAGGGCCTTTTTATCAATTTTTTCTGGGAAAATAAGTGTCCCTATGTCGAATTGTCCGCACATCGATGTATCATATGTGGGGGTCTCACTGTAACAAAAACAAGTCTAGCTACACGGAGTATGAATGATGGGAAAAAATACTGTACGCCAAGAAAAGAAACACAAAATTAGTATGTTTTTGGGTGTGGAATGGGGTAATTTTAAAATAATGTTTATTTTTTAAATATTTGTGAGTGTAAATAGCTCAAACTCCAAGAAATATGAAAATTAAAAAATACAAATCTTCGATTTTTCCCGAATTTGAGTATTTTTCGATTTTTTCAGTTCTAAGTATGTCTAAGAAGAATTTTCTGTATATCGGGGCGTCCGTATGTTGGGGTCCCTCTGTACCTACCTGCATTGTGATTACTCCGACTAAACTCTAAATCAAGTGCCGATTTCTATTGAAATGCTTGACACGTCCTGGGGAAGCCGATGCACTTTACACTTGACATTGCTTTCCGCGGTGTCGGGCAGGTGTCACCCCCCGAATCACTGCACCGACCGAAATCGATCCGAATAATTTAAACCGAACCACAAGAGAAAAAGCATCCTACCTTAGTGCTGTACTGTAATGGTGCATAACATTCTGGCGAAAATTGTAAAGAAAGAGGAAAATAAGGAATTTTAGTCGGTAGACTTGAAGCGTGGGCCCCGCACAACTTTCTAAACTTCAAGCCAGAAGAAATAACTTCCAATCTTAAATTATGCAATGCCGCCTGATAAGCTTTATTTTCGTCCGACCGATTTAGTTACTCGACGATTTCACGGGGCGTACTGTGTTCACGCGAATGTAAGCACTCATTTTTTCCGATTTCAGAAATTAGGAATAAGTCCTTCGAAGATGTGATGAAATTTTTTTTCAATTTCAAGGTGCAGAAAATCGCTGTGCAAGAGAAATCCGCTAGAAACAGATCTTCTGGCGCATCAAAAGGAGCACAAAAAGCAAAGAATATCAGGAACATAAGTCTCATTATACAGTAATCTGCACAGATTTAAAAAAAATCCAAAAAGAGAGCAAAAATTATCCTGCTCTGATTTTAAATTTCAGTAAATTTATGATACAATTTATTTTCTATTTGGGTAAATATGAAATAGCTCATTTGTTCAAGCGATATCAAAATTCATTAGGCAATTTTTTCCCCTTTTTCTAGAAAAGTCGGAAAAGTGCCCTTATCTCGACATACTATCCTGATATTGAGGCGGAATTTTGAATTTCAAGTTTCCCTAAGTCGAATTATCCATGTATCCGAGTCTCACTATGTATCAGGGAATCTTCCAGTTTGATGTACACAAAAATGATCAAGCACTTCTTTTCTTCAGATCTTCTGGAATTGAAGTTGAAAATAATAAAAACATCGTCAGCACTTCAATACTTGCATTAGTCCTCGATCATGAAAGGCAGTTGAGCGCCAAGAAAGGGAAAAGATGTTTATATTCACCTGCTACTAATGCAATTTCAAATTTTTTTTTTCATGAAATAAGCTTGCTGGTTGCTTATGTATTTGCGTGAATACTGCGCATCAGTAAATCTGCCAATTCAAGCAAAAAGTATGAACATGAACAAAAGTTTGTAAAACTCATTTATCTTTCATCTTCTCGCAATTTTATAGCCCTGCGTCCATGTATGCGGAATGGGCGCCACCGTCTCAGATGTCATACGTGACCTTGCCACGGCGTCCGAGAGCATCGTGGAGCCATCCCGTGAACCCGTCTACTGTCCCGGCGTTTACATACATTCCGGATGCCGAATCGAGTCCGAAAATCCGACTGGACCCTGTTTACGACAATCTGGGACCCAGGACTACTGCTGATGGAACCCTTCGACGACCGAGTACATCATCGACCTCAAGCTCTGTGTCCCACAGGAATGGGAGATCCCAACAACAGCCGATGGGCAGAGGGGATTATTACGCGGATATCCCCGATTTCGCTGATCATGCGGCTGCGAGGAGAGGATTCCAATACTCCACATTGCCAAGATCCACGCCGAATGTTTCCGAGGCCCAGATTCCAATGGTAGGGTTTATAATTGCGCCTTTTATGTTTAATTCTGCGCAAATTGAATCATGTGTAATGGAAATGGTAGGAGGAAATGTTGTAATTTTGAGTTTTCATGTTATGTTTAAAAGAAATGACGTGTAACATTTGTTTGAGCTGTGTCCAAAAGTACCTCGGCTCAAATTACAGATAGACCCGCTACAACAATCATGTCTAAAACGATTTATATCTGTATAACGACTTTTTCTGGCTCCATATAATAGAGTTCTCTCTCCCATGCTACAGTAAAATCTCGTTGAAACAAACTTTTGTGGACTTCAGAAAAAGTTCGTTCTACTGACAAATGCGTTATAGCATAAAATTTTTCAAATTAATCACTGGAACGAATTTTCAGATCAGACCTGCATATATCAATTATATTTATCTTACTTTTCTGGCCTCCTCAGATTTTTTCTTATTGTTGGAAAACTGAGAGAACTTCTGAAAAAAAATTAGCTTATATCATGCATTCCATCAGTTTCACGATTCTTTTCATTCTGGGAGGATTTTGTATGATGGAACCATTTGGAAGCATGTTTTTCATTGATTGCAGCTTCCATCCATGCGTTACAAGAACCAGTCCATCACATTTTGGGATTGGAAATTTCAGACATTGCCTGCCATACTTGGGAAATTCCTACCTGAAGAATCTAAACTTTCCTCAAAAAAAGTTGGGATTTGAAAGTTTGTTATAACAAGAGTATTTTAACATGTAATCTATGGGCTTTCTGTTGGGACTTGAGAAAAAGTGTGTTATACTACAATACTGTTCACTGTGTTGTAACAAAATTTTAAAGGGATTATTTACAAAGATGTTTTTATGGTCCGTTGAAATTTTTTTGTAGAGAGAGAGTCCACCTTAATGAACTACTTCCTATTCACAAGAACGAAAAGCCTTAATTTTATTTTATAAATTTACCGAAATTCATAATCGAAACTTTACTTGAATAAGTTAGTGTACTGTATATGACTCACAGGGTTTTGACCTAAGAAGTATTGTTCAACATATTCTCCAAGAAATGAGTGGTTCTGAATGGTTCTTGAGAAAGTAAAGAAGTCAAATGTATTGCTAGTTGAGAGAAGATTGTCTCAAAATTCTTGTTTTTTATTCATTTATTTGAAATTGCAGACGCATCAAAATTATCGACTTCCTCCAGTCCGTGAAGAATCTCACGGGCCTGCCGACGGACGACCTTCTTCCGTGCAAAACCTCAGGAGGAACCACGTGCAAAACCAGACGACCAGGCTTCAACAAGCGCTGATTGAAGAACAAGCAGCGCTCACGCAGGAACTGATGAACGGGCTGGAAGACTCTGATGGGGACTTTGACCTTCCTCCGCCTCCGGAATCCGTAATGAACGACGACGTGAAAACCATGAAGAAAGTTCCGCCGAAACCTCCTCCAAAGCCGTCGAAACTCTCGACGCTGTCGCGGGACTCTTCGATCACTGTCGACAATTTCCAAGACGAGGGAGACGACGGAACGGAAATTTGAAATTGACTGACTTTTTTCGTTGATACCGTGTGTTATGCATATATTTTTCATGATTCCCTTGATCTCAAACGTTTTCGTTTTGTTTCTTGACGTTAATTGGATCGAGGACATGTACGAAGGAATCAAAAAGAGTTTTGAGGTCCACTTCGAGGTTTTGAGTTCGAAACCACATTGTTCCTATGTCAAGAGAAAAAAATGCTGATTTGTCGCGCGAGAAACTGTGATAGTTTACTGCTCTTTTTTTTTTTAGCAGAAGATAGTTCTGGAAAAATTAACTACTTTCGATTAAGCTTTCCTTCCGTTCGGATGATGACAACTTATGGTCCTTGTTTCCGTTCTGGAGAGCGGAACTACGTTTTTCATGATACATTTCCATTTCGAGGCTTGAAAATTGAACTCGGAAATTTCAAAACCTTGATACCACATAATTTGTATTGAAGGAAAAGAGATTTTTTAATGTTGTTATCGAGTTCTTTTGATTTCTGAAGGCTATTTTCGTTCGTAAGTTATGTTTTCATCGCAGCTTCTCGATCGACGATTTCTTGCTGGAAACAGAGCTTAATTTGTTGAGCGTAATTGATCGGTGTTCAAGAATTCGTTTTCCTTGACATTCTTTTTAATTTTTTTGCTAAATATAAAAAAATATTATTCATGGTTATTCTCTGCGAATGAGTGAGCAGTTCTGTGGAAGCTGTGCTTTAATTTCCACTCGTTGTTCGCATATTTTTTCGCATTGCGGACGACTTGGTACGATTCATGGACGTGGATGTTTTAAATGTTCGGAAAAGTGAGTCAATAGTTTGATGGAATGAATTGGATCTTGAGCGTGTTTTGATATTCTCAGACTTGCTATGATGTGAATATGAGCTTTCACTGTTAAGCTTGTAAGTTTGTTTTTCTGCCTGGAAATGTGCTGTTTTTTTTCTCCATCTCTTTGTTGATTGATCGAAGGAATCGGAACGTCCGCGATGCTGTTCGATAGTTGAGTGGAGCTGAGTGATTGTTTTTTTGTTGTTTTCCGTTTCTTTTCCGACGGGGGAATTTTTGGAAATACAGGTTTTGTGCCTGCTTTATATGTGCTCACTTCCAAACAATCATTTTCCACTTTTCGAAACTAATCTCAGTTGCGATTTCCGGGGTCCTTCTTGCAGATGCTGTTGCAGAATTCACATGCTTTTCGCGAGAAACAGGAGTACCATCTTGAATACTGCAAGACAAGGTTTTAAGTGTAGAAATGTTTTCTTAATCATCTTTACTTACGCTGACTGCAGTATCTTTTCCGCTGTCGGCGCACGAATCCATGGCTGCCACAAGTTCGTCCTTAATCTGTGGTACGATAGAAAATTAACTCAATGTCAAATTTGTTTATTTTAGACTCATGATTCAGGTACGTGTCCTGACAGATCAACGCGTCCCGAAACAGATTTTGTTCGCGAGAAATTTTTATGCGGTGTAATAAATTTATAAAAAGTAGGAATGAAGTCTTTCATCTTTTCTGATATTTCGTAAAGAGAAATATTAAGCAAATAATAAGAAGGTGAAATTGTCTGATGCAAGAATAAAAGTTCGCTTTTCCACTAATAATGATTGAGATACATTTCCACATTCTGAATTAAATTATTTTAAATGCTGAGAAGCCTTTCTTGAAGCACACCTTTCTAATTTTTTGAAGACATTCCACTATAGCTACTTCTTTGGTTCCTAATTTTTATAGGAAATCTTGGAAACTTTTTCAACTGCCTTCCCATAAAGTTGTTCAAGAAAAACATCTTTGAGTCTGCAAAAATGTTTTAAACTTTGCTGGGCATCAGAACATTTGTGGGAAATTAACCAGCCCACAGAAAATTTCATGGAAATTTGCTGGTCTGCAGGCCCAAAAAGGTTGGTGAACTCTGATTTAGAATACTGTACTGCAGTGAATAATGTTGCTAGAATATGAGAACGCCTTCCGTGTTAAGTTAGGCATTGATCATGCTAAAGTAATTCATTGTGGCAAAATAGTCAACTGCAAATTAGATTGTGAAAATATTTAAGCAGAATGTGGCTTTTTTAAATGTTTCATGTGTTTAATAACTGCAGTGTGCCTCTGAATAACGAAATTTAAAATGTGTTGAAATTCTTACTCATTGTTTCAGAACAGGAAATCATTCAGAGGTGTGTCTTAAATCGTGGATCGAAGAAAACTAATGTAGATCTATGAAGTGCTTTTGTGAGTTATTGTTGCGAACAGTTCTTGTGGGGGCACTTTTTTCCAATTGTTCGATTTTGGGACGCTCTGAAATCTGTCCAGGCTAAATAATTAATAGATAATTGATAGATAATAAATAGATAATTGGTTTGTAATACGCACGAAAGGTGACGCCTCTGTCGATCGCAACATTCGCTCGATTCCGTCCAGGTTCGGATTCAAGCTCCTCCCTTCTCCAGTGACCAATCCAGTTTTCTCAAAAAAGCAGGCTTGCACTTTTTTGGCAATTTCAGATGGCAGATTTTTCTCTCTACCTGCTTCAAAGTAAAGTTGAGACAAAAATTCAGATTAATACGAATTCCAATAGTTATCGTTCATTTTCGCGAGAACGCAGCAATTCATCTATTCCGACCAGGCTTGAAATGATGCACTATATAGCTAAACCTTGACTGAAAAAATCAAATACTGCAATACATCACGTTATTCCTTGTATTGCATTATTGCTTGATGGTCAGTTATAGAAGCGTTTTGCAAAAACTATATAAAAAAATTGACGCAGAAAACGTTTGTGGACCTGGGGATTTGACAAGGCCTGAATACTGTAAGTTACAGTATAATTATTTAAATTGAAAGAGGCTGCGAAAGTTTTATTCTATAATTTCCCCCCATCGAAACTTCGGTCGAGAAAAGTTTGAGGGATAGTAAAAAATTAAATTCTACTCGATGATTTACTGTATACAGTACTCTTAAAATAGCTGGTGATAAAAAAAGTGAAACTTGTCATTAATATTCTCAGCCAACCCTCATATTTTAATTTAATTGAGTCTTTGCTGATTCTTGCTTTTGGAAATTATGAACACAGTAGATGAGAATGTAGATACTGTAGTAAATTCAAGATAGGGAAACCAGTATTTTGTTGTGGGAAAAAATAAAAAAATTTCCGGAAATTGTAAATGGTGATATTTTGGGGCTTAAATTGCTTCTTGAATGAGTTGACAGGATGCTGAACTTATGCAAGCTTGAATTTATTTGCCAAATTACTCTGGTACTTCCTTTCAAAACACATCAAGTTACTTTTTTATTGCTTTTATCTTCCCTGATTCAAGAAAATAATGCTCAAGGCATAAGGAATCTGCGTCACGGAGTTTTGAGAGGAAAAGCCTTCCATAGTCAAGGAGGTTTTTAATGCATCATCTTCAAGGGTTTCATTCTATTCACTATTCAGACGGGGACTTGACAAAATTTGACTTAGGGACGAGGTTCCAGTTATCAAGGTTTAACTGTGTCCATGTAGCCAAAGAAACAAAGTATAATCAGTACATTAAAAAAATAAAAACACATCTAACTATTTTCCGAGGGTCTCCGACGTTGGTCAAATCGCTGCTCGTCGTTAATTGGCCGATCGTTTCTTGGCAGTCGATCGCCGTTGGAAATCGGGCGATTGTTGAAAATATTTTGCGTAGGAGAGTAGTCTTCATATTCAGGATAAATGGTCGGTGGTCTTGATGGTCTTCCCTCATTTTCTTTTGGAGGGGCAAGCATCATTAAAGTCGTCATGTCGACATTCACCACTGACACGAGGCAAGATGCCCAGATTGCTTCGTAGTTGGATATTTTCTTGACAAATGAAAAAGACGAATTAATCACACACACAAATAAAAAACGTTCATTTACAATCATAATTCTGATTCACTGCAAGGATCGAGGTTTGCATCAAGTACCTTAATGAAAAGCGTTATTGTGATTATCGAAATGGCTGAAATTATAAACTTTTCTTGCATATTTCGAGATTCGAAAAATATAATGGAGCTTTCTCTTCTTCCATTATTTAAAATTTTTAAAAATAAGTAATCGTTAAATCGAAAGTGCGTTATTGGAGGCAAAAACAACGTCATTTGAAACGACATCTTCGTTTTTCACAAAACATTCAAATGGCAAAACGTTCAAGATTTCGACAAATTTCCAAGCACTGTTTCACTAGGTGCATAAACTGTTCAATAAAACTGTCGTAGTAATTTATTTGATGGGAAAACTGCATCAAAGTTTGTGTTCAGGGTTCGAGATGAATTCTGTGAGTGGATTCGAATAAATTGCGCTGATTTTTCATTTCAAATACCACGTTTTTGGCAATGCTGTCCGTAGGCAGATATGCTTCAATGCATTCAAAGCACGATTTTGGATCTGGAAACGTACAGAGAAAATTGGACCATTATATCAATTAATGTAGAGTAAAAAACCTATCGAATTTTCACCTCGTCGTCTGTTGTTAGTTGATGGCCGTGCTCTCGCAGATTTGATCTCGTCATCATCAGAACTGATTTCGATTTCAGCGATTTTAATCTCTGCCATTTCAGTCTCCTCAGTTCTGGAGAACTTGAGGGAAAGACTAAAACACGTGACTGAAAGCAGTGCTCCTAAGATTTTTCGCATTTCTTCGTCCAAGTTATTTTTCCTTGCGCCTTTCACTTTTTCCACTATTTCTCACGCAGATTTCGCAATTGCCGTGAACAAGAAATTTGTACAATCACAATTTTTGTGTGTGCACGAATATTCTTTCTATGATTGTAAAATGTGCTGGTTTTTTAAAGCCCCAGCGCAGTATTATCACGACACTGAGTGTGTGGAATACGCCAGTGTTCGGCTCTGCTGTAGAGTTGTCGGCAATAAAAATCTGATTTCATTCAACTCATCGTGGAAAGAATCAAAAGATTTAGGGCATCTGATAACAGAGATTCATCTCGGTTCTCCTCGCAATTATTATTATTATTCTAACTGCATTTATATTGTACAGGAAACCGAGTTTCTCATCATGCAAAATACTTTTCAAAATTGTAAAAATGGGGCAACATTGTTCATGTCTGATTGAAACATCGAACTCTTTCACCGCATGTGTTTAAGTAATAAACCCAGAAAAATTCAGCTTTTGCTCCCAACATTCATCATCAGCATTGAAAATGCAAATTATTCACTCTAAACTCTAAAGCAACTTCGGAAGTAGTTTTCCACAAAAGCGTGTTCGAATGTTTCTGCTTATAGATATTCTCTTCCAATAATTTTTTAAAACCTTGATTAGATGCATGATCGACGATCGGTTTTCGATGGTTTTATACGGTCATTATTCCAGTTGTAGAGTCACGAAACCTGCTTTTTGCCACATATACTTGTGAAATTGAATTTATTTATAATAGGTTCGCTGGGAAAATAATTGAGCGGTTACCTGGACCCGAAATCAGGCCTGTGTCCAATCCCTGGATCTCGAATAGAGGATTGAGAGCATCAATCAGATAATAAGAAATCGCCTTTCCAATAAAATTTTGAAAACAACGAGAGCAACGCAGAAGAGCGAAAAGGTTATCAAGTCTCAATTATTCGCAGTACATTTAGATTAAATGAAAAAAATGAGCTCATCAAGGTCATCTTCATTTATTGTAACAGATCCATATTCAGAAACCATTTTGTCGTTTCTCCTTTCAAATGGGGAAAAGTCAATGCAAATCTCCGAAATCTTCTTGAAACGATTTCATTTGATCACTGTAATTTTAATGCAAGTTATACTGTGGTAATTTAAAATTACGGTTGATTTCATCTAGGTAGAGTTGATTCGGGTTCTATTCCTGTATGTCTTTTTGCAGAAATGCTTGGGGATCAGATCTTCAAAGTTTTTTTTTGCCCATCATCAGGGTCCATTACTCGAATGCATAGTTTATCAGGTCTTTCAATGAGTGAAACAATTTTAATTAAAATTAACATATACCTTTTTATTTATATTCGAAAGGAAGGCGATTAAGTGTAACTTCACTCTGAAAGAGTTAACTGATGCGATAAGGTATGGTCCGAATTACGGCTCAGCGATCTATTCAGTTCGAACAAGATTTTGATCCAGTGTTTGAATATACGTTTTAATGAAAAATTTGCTTCAGAAATATCGTAATTTCTGAAACCTGAGTAGAGATTTTCTCTTCAGAAAGCCATCATGTGTCAGTTGTTTGTTATTTTGTCTTGTTCCCGACATTAGTCTTCACTCTAATCAATGCATGGGAATTTTATTCAAATAACCCTATAGTGGAAAATTAGGTCGCGGAAGAAAATCTTGTCGCTGAAGCTGGACTATAGGAGAAAAGAATCGACGAAAGTTTGAGAAAAAGTAGGACATTTATTTCAGAACACATGTATAGAAACGCAAACGATGAGCAACAATTTTTACACATCGTCAGACAAATACTTGGGACCGCAATTTCACTCAACTGCCGTTGAAGCTTCAGGTATTGCTTCGTCCATCGGAAGTGGAATTCCTTCATTCAACTTCCGGCTTGTTTTCCAATTCGTATGCGGTATCCCCATATCCGGCGTTGCATGCTTGTTCATTGAAACACTTGAACCAAACGGGGTACTGTATATACAGATCAATAAATTTTTAAATTTAGACGCTTTGGAATATATTCGAACTCTTGATAGACTTGAACAAACAGACTTCGCCATGTATATGCAATTTATTCGAGATTGGAGTCATCACGAATAAAAACAAATGGCATCACAGATCAATCGATTCAGAAATTTAGGCGTTTTGAGACATGTTCGAACTCTTACTCTGGCATTGAACAAAAATGTTTTTGAGATTTACGTATTTGCTATTTATATGAGATTAAAATCATCACGAATGGAAACGTATGCCATGGCTTAGAATTAGAGCAATTTATTTTCGAGAACACCCACCTCATTTTACTGGAGCATGTGACCATCGCTTCTGTGACGCAAAAATTACAGTAGTTTTCGATTTGATCAAGAACTTAAATTATACAAATGTGGGGCATCAGAATACGTATCAGAATTACGTAAAAAAACTGATGCTATAGGGTATCATGTATCCTTACAAAGTTTTATGAATAGTAATATAAAACGGAGAACACTGAATGAATTTCTACCTTGAAAGAACAGAATAATGACAACTCAGAAAATACCGGTAACCCTGATTTAATTAAGCCGCACGCATTTCAACATTTCATCTTGCCAATTTTTAAAGCATAAAATTCATAAATTATGTTCGAACAGCTGTAAAATAGTGGAAACCGCGTGGTTACAAATCCTGGCTGTGATGGATTAATGTATATTTTCTTGAAATTTGAAGATGGACGAAAGGAAGTAGTTGTATAATATGTTTCCCAAATATTTTTGAAAACACATATTTATGGCCCCTGCATCATGGCGGAAATATTCTTCAAGCCCATATTGGTTTGTGACGATCTTTGAAACTATGATATTATACTGTAAATGTAAATCGAAATAAATCTTACCTTTGTTTTCCTTCCTCCTGCAGTATTAGCACAGTATTCATTGATTTGAATCAGGTCTTCTTTTACCTAGAAACGACCCAGCATGGATTGATCGGCGCATTGAACAATTGATGAATTAATGTGCTTTTCCATGACTCACTTCCTGATTTCCGGACATCGATCGAATGAGAGACGAAATTGAGTTGGTCTGAGGCTGAGCGTTTCTCAGAGTTCCTCCTTGGAGCACCATGTATTTCGTTTTCAGCAAAAAGCACGTCTGAATTTGTTGCAAAATTCCCTGTCGTTCAGCGGTGGGTCTTTGGGTGACGGGTAATCGTCGGTCATCATACTGGTTCAAGTACCCTGTAAAGAATACCAAAGATTTTATATAAATAGTTTTAATACGCTTGAAAATGAAATCATGTACAAAATCGACGAGAGTGTTTCGTTGTCACAAACCGTCGTCTGGGAAATCGTCATTACGCCTGAGGGATTCGGAATCTCTCGGTGTTGGTTCTTCTTGGCGATCTTGTACCTCAGATTGACTCGGGTTTTCTTTTTCATAATTCACTGGAGGCCCCCACGATGCATTTGGATCTTCATAAAACGCAGTTTGATCACATATTATATGCAGTAAATAATTTTTTGAACAATCACCAATTGCCTCAACACAACAAGAAGACGCTCAAAGAAAAAATAGTGACGCATTTTCTAATTCTAACCGCAAGGATAGTCTTACGAAATTTTTGTCAGTTGATATTCGTTTGGTAAAATAATTCAATTTGCTTTTGTTTAACACACCATTCCTTTAGCGTAGACCAAGATGAGCATTTTGATCTAGTTCTGAATTTCAAGAGAGATCGAGAGTCGCCAAAATGGGGAAAATTCTGAATTTAAAGAAAAAGTGGACGGTGTAGGAAGTCAGATTAAAATCTTGAGATTCTATGTTTCTATGCAATCTTTGGAAAGGCGAAGGTATTCGAGAAATTTCAAAGTAATACTTGCGTTCATATTTTTTTAGGTCTCGTCAACTCGAGTTATTTACGAAATTCCAAAAGCGAAAATAAGTTTAGAAAAAAGGATACATAAATATGCGATTGACAATTTTTGAGACGATCACAAAATAGAATTTGCTAAATATACCCCCTTCAATTTGATTTCATTTATCTTAGCCCTCTTTCTTTTTGGAATGCATATTTTTTTCCCTTGGATGTATAGCAGCACTTCTAAAAATAATTGGTTTTGAAAGTCCCAATTCTGATCTAGATTTTTTTTCAGACGCCACGCCATAATTCCCTCTCATGTCTTGTTTTTTTTTTTTACCTCGATCGAATCATCAAAAATAGTTCTCTGTCAGCCTTTTTTATTTTACTCGGAGGAATTCAGTTTTATTTTCGGAACTTTGGGAGAATTCGCTACCTTCTCCTGAATTTTATAGAGACTCAGTGTCACATAATCCCCCACCCCCCCGCCACCGCCCCCAAATCGGTATTAGATTTTTAAATTAACACATGGTGATTTCACTTTAAAATGTTTACTTCTTTTGATGGAATAAGTCCGAGGCCTTCGGTTCGGCCTGGCCCTGAAAGGCGTTATCGGAATAGAAGGGCTCGCCGAAGACGTTCCAGGGTTGAGGATATCCAACGTAGTGAATGGTTTTCCACCGAGTGCCATCAGGGAACAAACAGTCCAAATAGCTTTCAAACGATTCACAACCTTAGAATTGAACATATACTGTAATTTCTTGAAGGAAGTCTCATCGTAAGAAATTGGAACGTTTTTCAAAAGGATATCGAGTAGAGTAATTTATTTTTTGATATGTTGGAATTCTTTCAATGAATTTTCCCAGGCTCTTCGGTGTACCGAAACATTCCTACGTTTCTTTCTTTTTTTGTGTGGGCACAATCACGCAGATTTTTGGTGTCGTGTCCCAGGTTTCCCTTCAGAGAGTCCTTGAAATTGACATGGCGTTAATTCCGAAGGGTTTCCGTCATTAATTAATTATTAATGCCGCAATTTTCATTGACAGCCGCCTTCACACCCGCCACATTCCCATATTCGCAGACTGGCGGCTGCGAAGGCCGCTATTATTGAAAATTGCGGCATTAATAATTAATTAATGACGGAGCCCTTGGAATGAATGCCACGTCGATATCAAGAATTCTGAGGGCGATTCTGAGCTATAGCAACAAAAAAAAAAGGAATAAAAACGAGATGTGCGAAGACCAGAAAGCTGCGAGGGTGACTTTTGCAGAAAAATTACAGGGCTGTGATGTGCGCCAAAGAAGTGGTTCTCTGAACAATAGTTTTTTCCTGTTGAATCAAATGCTGTTTCAATTTATATTCCGAGAATATTTTTAGACACTTCGTGTGCTTTTTTTTTAAAAACATGGATATCAACAAAATGATCATAGCTACCAGCAACTCAAGAATGTCAAACCAAATGACCTCACTTTGAAACGCTCCTCACCGTGCTTTCGTATTCCGAGTCGAAATAAACGCCCACCCGGTTCAAACAGGACCCGGAACCTACGCAAAAATATTTTCAGCGATTCGAATGAAGAAATTACGAGGCAATCTGGCTGTTGAAAAATACAATTTGTAAATTATAGACTTACTGGATCCTGGATTAGGTCTGTATCTTATTCGTCGTGGGGTTTTCTGTTCGCCATCTAAATTTGCCGTGCTGCTCGTGTCTGCATCAGCACTACGACGAGGTTCAAAACGAACTTCGTCTCCATTATTCACCGACAAATCAGACGAAAAAGCTGTGGCAGCGAAAAGCGAGAAAACGAACACAGTCCGCATTTCTTTTTGTGTGCACTTTATTTCACGAATTTGTGGGATATGATACGAACAATTTTTGGTGTTGCTTTGGGACGGGAAATTTGGATCCGACAGGCGAAAAGCGCGAGTTCCGAATAAATTTTCCTCCTGTTTAATAGCATACTCTTGATAACCGAGTCGGATCTGATAAACTTTCCAACGGGTCAAAGGGAAGTTTGATCAGTACTTTAATGAATAAAGGAGGTGCTTCCATTTTAATTTGGGCGTGTCAAATTCCAGATGGTAGATACTATAGTCGTACCCAAAGTACCTTCGATAACAGAACTATTTTGAATTAAATGGTCAAATAATGAATATTTTTTGGAACTTTCGTCTTTTTTCCTGTTATTGATGCGGAGTTTTTGTGCCATGAAATGTGGCCTTCTTTGTGCCAGCTGATCGAAATTATTTATTTTCTGGTCTATAATATTATTCAAAAAGTTTATCAGTCTTAGTTTTCCTACCTGAAGGATGCTGCGAAATCTGTACACGAAATATGCATATTTTCTGGATCAGGTGAAAGTTTGGCCCCAGTTTGACTGGGAAATTATAACAAAAGCAATTTTGAGCTTCGGAGGCTTATATTGCATTTTTTTTAAAGGGAATTGACCAATAATTTACTGGAAATCTGCGATATGGAGGATTTTGACGTACAGTAGTTGCCTTGGAGATGTTGAACTGTTCGTACAGTAATTGAAAAATGAATGAAAATTTTTATCACTAAATGTTTCCTCTGTTCGGTTAATCGAAGGTTCACTGACTTTTCGACTGGAAATCAGAGAAAATAATAATGTCCGTAAAGTGCAATGGCCAAGGCTACGATCTTTGATTTTTCTCTATACAGTATTCTTTCCAAAACACATGCGTGAAACAACAATTAAGCTTAACCAACATAGGGTTTGTCCATTTCCAAATAGATTCATTGCATAAATTCAATCCTGGAAAGTGCTTCTGGAGTGGAAAAAAGTAGCCCCATGTGTCTAAGAGAATAAGTTGTCAATTGTGAATGAATGAATGAACAAAACACTTTATTTGCCGCTTTTCGGCGTTCACAAGGTTCAATCAAGATTTCCACAACCAAACCCTCTTCCCAACCAACTCAAATCCACTCAATGACATTTTAATCACTTCATAGCAGGAAAGCACAAAATGATGACAAAAATAAAAGAAAATACAATGCAACATGAAATACAACTGGACATCTGGTCAATTGGCAATTGTTACCTTGCAAATAAACCGGAAGTAGTGCTTTGCGTGCTTGTATAAGAGGATCCGTATGCTGGCTGCTTGCAAGAAAGGTCAATGAGAGAATAACACCTTCGATTATAATTTGATCAATGACGGAATCATTTGAAATGAAGACTTTGTGCCAGCTGTATTTGTGCTCGCGTACAACAATCACTTTCGCGTGCGTAATTTTGAATTTCAGCTGCGCGCTGTTTTATTTTTCCCATGTGCATAAGCTGTTGCAGAAGTCGCATACTTTTTCCGTGAAACACGAGTACCAATTCGAGTACTGCAAAAAAGGGGGTTTTCATGCACTCATTCAGAAAATGCGCCTCAACTGATTCTACTCACGCTAATTTCTACATTTCTTCCGTTGTCCGTGCACAAATCCAATGCCGTTATAAGCTTCCCCTTTGCCTGTCATTGTCAAAAGAAAATTCCCCGGAGGCATGAGTTTTGTGTATCCTTTCAAGAATATCTAAAATTACCGTTTGCGATGCCGTAGTTGATTGCAAGAGTATTTCCATTGCTTCCAGATTTGGTTTCATGTTTCTTCCGTCTCCTGTGGCTAGTCCTGCTCTCTCGAGGAAACAAACTTGAACTTTTTGCTGAAGATCCGATGGCAGAGTCACTTTCCGATCTTCTGTAAAGAAATATTAAAGAAACAACCTCGAAGAACATCGAAATGTACCTTGTGATCAAAATTACGGAACGATTCTCGCAAAGCAAGATCAGATAGCAGAAGTGACCGATGCTGCTGCAAATAGTTGTTTATTTCAGCGGTTTATTTCGCATTAAAGGGCCTGGAAGACGCTGAAAACTTCGAGAATTATTGTGTTGGTCTTCAAGCTTCTGTTCGCCGAGCAGTTTTGCAATTGCGCAATGTGAAGAAAGAGGTTATTTTTAGCAAGTTTGTCCACCCTCATGCGCTGACTGGAAAGCAGAAATTTTGCTTGTGGCTGACAGGTTTTTTCGTACCTGGCGATTTTATTTTTGATCTGATTGTTTTGGGTTTTAGCAATCACGAGTTTTTGTTTCTGTTCTTTCCCAGTATAAAAAGGGTGAATTTTTTTTTTTTTCAAATCATCAGACCATTTTTAGCTGTGAAATTTGAAGGTTCTCTTCCATCTTGGGGATTGTTTCGAAATAAACTGTTGTTAGCAGAGAACTTGCCTAAATTCTTCTTCAAACGTTGACTTTTTTTAAAGCCCTGCGTCAAATTTCTGTCTGGATAAGCACAGCGTGAAAAATCTATCGACAGCAGTCACTCAATTTACATTCGTAAGAGCACAATACTTCGATCTTCATAATGCCCACCGATTTGAAATGCCATTAAACTTTTTCCGAAGACTTCAATTTTTGGGTGGAACTTGGATCTTCTATGTTTTATCAGCTAACTTTTGAAGTTAGAGAACTCACGAGAGACACACGAATAATTAAAAAAAAACTTTTTTAGATGAATTTTGACTCACTATTATTTCCAGGAGGTCGCTGCTGACGTTGGTCCAATAGCTGCTCGTTAGCAGTGGTACTTGGCCGATCGTTTCTCGGCAGTCGTTCGTCGCCGTAAAGGGGTCGACTGTCAAATATATTCTGGGAGTAGGGGTCTCCGTAGTCGAAATCGATTGGTGGCCGAGTTGGCCTGGGTCTGCCGCCTCCGCTATCCCGTGGAGGCGCCATCACCGCCAGAGTCGTCATGTCGAGGTTCACGACTGACTTGAGACAAGTCGCCCAGATCGCTTCGTGCTTGGTTATTTTCTTCACATGAAAATTTTGAAATTGTTAAATAGTTCATGGCCTTTACATAAATGGGCATAAAATAAATTTCGGTCAATTTTATAGCGAGCATGGCTTACCTTAATCTAGCAAAAGATCAAGGTATTAGTGTGGCGGCACAGTTTCACATCTGCAGATGCATATTTCGAGGAAATTTTCTTTTTCAAAACGAGGATAGTTTTTTTTTAGAATTTTGGAATCCTACTCGAAGTAATACGTGAAAAAGGTGAAAATCAGCTTTGGTTTCGAAGTAATGAATTCGAAATTGCGGAAATAATGGTAATCGACGGGACGATGGATATAATGACGAGATTTAAAAATTGATGTTTAAATTCAATTCTGAGCATTGCTATTGATGAAGGCTTTTTTGAAGATCTCCAAAAGGTTTACTTCAAAGTATGCGGACGATGTTGTGCAAAGGTTAAAGCATGTACTGCGATTAAAACATTTGTAATACCGTGTCCTTATTGATGCTCTCCGTAGGAAGGTACGCTTCAAGACATTCGAAACACGTTTTTGCATCTGAAAAAAATGCAATAAACGAATGAGTTTGTAATTAATAAATATTAATAAAAAAAAGTCCTTTGGACTATTCACCTCTTCGTCTGCTGTTTCTAGACGGTCGTGCTCGCACAGATTTTATTTCGTCTTCAGAACCGATGCTGATTTCAGCAATTCTGCTCTCAGGCGATTCAGATTCTTCGGTTTGCGACAATGTGACGGAAAGGCTGAGAAACACGACTGCTGAAAAAATTGCTGCTATGTGTATCCTTCGCATTCTTTTTTGATGCACTGGATATATAATTTTTTTTTTTTAAACCAGTTTTCACTTCTGAACGCCGCTGTATAACTTGAACACAAAATTGTCTGCTTCAAGATGAAAGTGAGACACCCGTTTTATACCAATTTTTATCCACGCATTTTTAATAAAATCTTTTTTTCTTGAATAATCAGGTGGTTTTTTCGAGGATGTAAGCACAACACATCGCACAACATCGAGTACAGAATATGCATTTTCATATTCAACAGAGCAGAGCGAAACTCTGGTCTAATTCCACCACACACGACTGGGAAATAAAGAACCGAAAGATTTAGGGCGTTAGATAACATACTTTTATGTCTGTGCCACGACTGGTTTTCATTTATTTTTCACAGGGAAAACCGAGTTCACGAGATAATTTTCCATGCGGTCAATATATACAGTATTTTCTAAATGGACAAGACGTTGAAAAATACGCGGTAAGTCGAAAAATTATTGAATATGACGTTACGAGAGACGAGAAAGAAGGTGCTTTGAAAACTGTCAGCTTCAATTATTCAGTATATATCCTGTGACACTTTTCAGCAGAACAAGCACGTGAAGGCTTCTAAAATGCATTACGGGTTTATTCTCTTTCCAATGCTTAAAGTGGAGTTCTTTCCAGCATCACTCATGTTTTCAGGTCGAGCTGGTTTGTTTTCTTGGCCATCGGCTTCTGATTCGTAGCAAACATCGCAGGCTTTTCGACGGAAACAGCTGAACCACTCAGCATACTAAAAAATATATACATATTTCATCAAGGAATGAATTATTTCTTCATCCAAACCAGCCTGATTTTTTCTCACCATCCTGCTCCTATTTCCCTTACAGGTGTCCACAGCTTCAATCATTTTTTGTTTGACCTGAAAAATGAAAAAATGGTTGTTTAATTCCATAATATAATTTGTGTTTGCCTAGGACTGTTTTTTTGTTTTGTTTGTGTGAATGATTACATCTTCAGCTCCAGTCATTTCCTCGATAAGAAGAGTGATGGAGTCTACGTTGGGTTCTTCGATGCGTCCACGATATGGATCATCTTCCGGTGGAGTATTCACGAAATTAGCCTTTTGCAAAAAGCAGGACTGAATTTTGTTTATCTTGTCTTCGCCGGGGAAGTGATAATTTCTGGGTGGTCCTCGTGGATCACGCATCATATTCCCGGCATTTCTCCGATTCCTGGTTCCTAGAAATATTTTTGAGAGGATGAACCCGATGAATAGAAATTACCTTTTCAATTGGATTTTGAAAGGGAATGATAATGGTATTTTTATATAATACTGTACTGTATATAAAATTTGCTCGCGTACCACAAGCTCTTTTATTTTTTGCGAAACTTTGAAGGTGGAAATGGGGTGCACATAATACGTGCGGATTAATTTTGCATGAAACGTTTTTTTGGACTCGTGCTAGTTAATCTGCAGAAAATGTTGGTCTTCTTTCCGAAATTGAAATTTTTAAAAATCATCAATGTGAATCTGGATTTACGCATAAATAAAGTTGGATTCAATCAGGTTTCTATCCTTTTGAGCAATGGAATTCAACATTCATTTGAGACTACTGTATAATTAAATTGCTCATTATACTGTAGAGCTGCTTTTTAGCGCATGTTTTTTTTAATATAAAGGGGGAAACTAGGATATCTTGCGAAGTTGAAATTTTCATCAATATCGATTTTTCTAAAACTTCTTGGAAAAAATCTTTGCGTGCTTCTTAATTGAGGCTGGCGCGTGGCATTCAATGGAACTCCAAATTTCAAATCATAATTTTCATTCTAATTTCAAATTTCGAATTTTCATCAATATCGATTTTTTGCTAAAATTTCTCAGAAAAAAAACCTTGGGCCACTTTTCAATTCCCTGTGGCGCGTGTCATTCGATGAAAATTCAAATTTCAAATCATAAAATTATCAAAGACTCACCCGCATTCCCTGCAGTTTCACGAGGTTCATTTTCAGGAGCTTTTGGTTCTGCATTCGATTGCGCAAATCTGAAAAAGTCGAAACCTTCTGAATCTTCTTCCGACCATCTTGCTTGAACATTCCAATTTGACGGTCTGATTAATATTGAGGGCATATAAACAGGTGGACGTCTTGTGGGTGTGGGGAAACCTGGTCTTGTGATTATGCCTGGTGGTGGCCTTCTAGGTGGGATCCGTGGGTTCAACATCTCCAGCGTTTTTAGGTCCATATCGAAGGATTCAAGTGCACAATCAGCCCATTTCAGTTTCAGGTCGTCCAACGACTATATTTGATGAAAAAGAAAAGAAAATTATGCGTGAATTCAGCCTTGAACGCCGTTATCTTCCAAATTTCCCTTGAGCATGTTTTTTTATTATTACTTTAACTTTATTCACATTTAACTAGGTTAAGAAGATTTAATTTTCAATTTTTAGGTGAAACATTTTGCCGAGTAATTGAAATTTTTCCTTGATCCCGAAAAGGGGCTCACAGCTGGTGCCACCTTTTTTTTTAAATTTAGGAGAGCCTTTCACACGTATATGGGAAAGGGTTATTTTTCCTACATTGTTTTTTTACAAAATTTGAGTGTGAAGATTTATTCTGACTCACATATGATGATGGAATATCTCAAGAAACAATGGGTCAAAAGAAATTTTGCTCTAAGATATAGCACACTTACGAAGCCATCAGACGTAGTTTCCGTTTCGAGGGTTAGACCGACACAATTGAAGCAGGATTTTCCTACATCTGAGCAGTGCGATTATATATATAAAAAAATAAAAATAAAAGAAAAATTAATAACTTGGAATTGAAATCGATAATGGGTTATTTCTCACTACTTGAAGTTTTCTTTCTTGAAAGCCACGTATTAGTCGGTCTTCTGCCTTGTCTTGGTGTGTTTTTCGTGCTGTTGATGTTCTCCGTTGAATTTGGCAAATCGACAGTGTCTCGAGGCGGAAAGTAAACAGTTTCGACCGACGAATTTTCTGCAGAAATGAGTTTCGCCACAACCGCACAGCAGCAGACAAAGATGCTCACGACGGAAAACTTTCGACTTTTTCTGATTATATCAACCATGATCACGAACAATCTGAAGCCACCTATGGCGGAGAACCATGCATTTTTCAGTTAAAAGCCAAATTTGAGAGAAATTTCAACAATATTACTCCCGACTTTCAACCATTTTAAGCGGAAGTATTGCGTTTCAAACTCACATCACTACTGTTCACATCGAAACATTTCACTTCCTTGTTCTGGAATGATGCATCCCACGCCCTTCATAACGCAGGCACAATTCGTCGATAACAATCTAAATTTCCACTTTCCCTCTTTTCGTGTGAAGGACAGACTAATGATTAAATTTATGAAACGAGACTTCAATATTAATCATCACACGTTCGATCGTGAGGTCAAATACGCGTATAGTACTTGACAAGTACACTAGAAACTTGAAAGAAAAAAAAAAAAACAGAAAAATGTTTTTCATTGGCAAACATTTGGTTTTGTTTTTTTCGGCATTATTAAATTGAATTACCGTAATAACAGCCATGGAATTTCTTCTCTTATTTTCATATTCAGCACGTCTTCAGTCAAAAGAGTTTATTGTTGTGCATAAAATAACCCAGTTTTCCAAATCGCAAAGTGGAAAAAATATGACGCCAAGTGGAAAATGAGCCGGTGATTGTTTATTATGCAGAACACATGTATAGATACACAACTGAACAAACATTTTTCACAAATATTGGACAAAAGCTCGGGATGATTTTGAATTTCAAGCAGGTAACGAGGAATCCTTTGATGTGCCTTCAGCTTTTCTGTCTTCGTTCGGAAGCGGAATGCCTTCGTCCAATTCTCGATTGATATCCAAATAGTCGCTTTCTTGAGCAGTTGAGACAGAGCAGGCTTTTCCCTTGAAGCAGTCGAACCACGAGGTGTACTGAGGAAAAAGTATTTTATAAGCATTCTTCGAAATTTTCTCGACAATTGCTTCAAATTGAAAAGTCCGGAGGCTCTCTAAAGAATCATGACAGATCCACGAAAACGCTCGCATAAAATTAGGGCGCAGAAGCCGCAGTAATTCTTCGATTTGATTCAATTGCATGGATTAATTGAAAAACATGCAAAGCGAGCGCTTTTTGGATTTAGAGAAAAATTGCACGTACTCTACAATACATTGGCCACATTTTTCTTTCCCGGAAAAGGGTGCTGAAATGCCCAAAAACCAGACATTTGTTGTTGAACAGCGCTTTTTTTTGTATACCGATTAATTAAAGTTGTATGGGGTTCTTCCCGGTGTTTTAGGGGTTGTCTACGACGAAATTCTCTCAAAAATGAATATTTTTCTGGTCCCTTGAATTTCTTTGTTGAGAGTCCATCCGTTTATAGAAGTTACAGTCTAATGTTTGCCATCGTAATCATTTTAAAGATCAAGACAAGGATTTTAAGCCTGGACAATTATTTTAAAACTATCTTCGATAAAAAAAGCATTTTTGAGTTGGCAGCCGTGTTTACAGAGAAAAATATATTGATGGGCTTGCGGATCGATCTGATGAAAATTTTATAAACTGAAGTACATCCGGTTGTTTTTCCCGTGTTGGAAAAGTTTTTCTGTAAATATTTTCAATTTGTCTCGACTTCTGCCGATCTTGTTCGTGACTGAAATGGCAGGCCAAAATCAAGACCAGGCAGAAATATTTTGTCTATATTTTCACACACCAACGAGCTCGTAATCGACTATAGATTATCGGCTTTCATCTAATTATGAATAAAATTATGAATTGAAACCTTACCTGGGTTGCCCTTCTTCCTCCACGGGAACAGTTTTCATTGAATTCAATCAATTCGTCTTTCACCTAAAAAGAAAAAGAGTTACTGAAGATACAGTAATTGAATAATAATTCAGTTATTTTCGCTGTATTTTTATTTTATTCATTTTTGCATGCCCTACCTCCTGATTTCCCGACATCGAGCTAATGAGATCAGAGATGACATCTGTGTTTGGCTGCGCATTCCTCAAAGTGCCTCCCTGAAGTTTCATGAATTCCTTTTTCAGCAAAAAACACGTCTGAATTTCCTGCAAGATTCTCTGTCGTTCACTGGATGGTCTTTGAGTAACGGGTCTTCTTCGGTCATCGTACTGCTGCTGGCTGAAGTAACCTGAAGCTATTGCCGACGGTTTCATTTGAATAATTGTATAATGCGTGAATTTGAAAGTAAGCCCTGAAAATGCAGGAAGAATTTTTTTTTTATTGACACGAACCGTAGCTCGGCAAACCATCGCTCTGCCTACGCGATTCAGGCTCTGTTATTGCTGGCCGCAGTTCTGCAGTTATCCGTGGATTTATTTCCGGTTGACGAGAATCTTCTTCCTGATTATTGCGTGAAGCCGCGGGTCCCCACGATCCACTTGGGTCTTCGGAAAATATTAAAAAAGAATTCACGTGATTATTTAATTTAATGTTCCGGAATGAGTGAGGCATCTTTCTTATTATTGATTCAAAACTGGAAAAAAAAATTTACGCGATGCGGTTTTCCCAGCAGGAATTAAGTCCCACCTTTGATTTCCAGCATATACTTCGATGTTCGCACGCTCCATTTCTTTCATAGTATCATTCATTTTACGAGGACCAAAATAAAAAATTTTGACGAGGTGGCAGCATTCAAGCTAATTTCGGAAAAAATTTAATCACATATTTCCTGATTTGACCTTTGTTCTCAGAAATCCTTCGAGAAGTTCTGGATGAAACAAAATTATCAGAAAAGTTTCTTTTTCTAAGCTCGCAGAAATCAAATTATTTTTGCCTTCAAGCCTAAGTTAAATCGTAGACATTTTTTAAAAAACGCAATCGAAAGTATTTCGTTAGAAAATACTCACCACTTCGAACGTAGTAAGTCGGAGGTCTCCGATTTCGATCGGGTCTTGGAGTGGGCCTGGGTCGCGGACCCGGAGGGTTGCCAGAGGATGTTCCCGGATCAAGAATATCCAAGGAAATGAACGGTTTCCCACCCAACATCATTATAGCACAATCAGCCCAAGCAGCTTTCAAAGGGTCCAAAACCTTTAGAAAATATTGAAAACTCTCATTTCGATACGCGATCGTTTTTTGGGGTTCTTTCGAATCTTTCCCAAAGATGGCAGGAATAATCTTGGTAATTTTCCGTATTAACGCAATGCTGTGTCAATCTTCTCTAATTCAATTCCCAGTTTTCATGCTTTTCTGGTTGAATTTTCCACATGACTTGACAAAAATAGAGAAATTCAAAAGTTTTCCAAGAAATTCCAAGCGACGAAGACGGTTTTCTGAGAAAATCGTTCGACAGGTCCAGTAAATGTTTTCCATCCAGATTTTCGGAAGAAAAGTAACGGTGCAAAACTCCTGTTCAAAACTTTATTTTTTACAATTTTTTAATAGCTCTGAAGCCCACGGAGTCCTTGAAGCATTAATATTAGGATCAATTGATATTAGGATCTTACTTCTCCAAAGAGTCAGCATGAAAAATGCAATGAATGCTCCTCTCCAAAATTAAATCTGCATTCTTTTAACGCATAAGAAAAAAAATCAACGTTCCGAAACTATACGCCGCACTTTTCAAAACAATCTTGGAACTTTCTAATCTCATAATCGTATTCGACATATGAAAAAAAAACGCTCCTTACCATACTGTCATATTCAGGGTCGAAATAAGCATCCACTTGAGTCAGACAAGACCTGGAACCTTTAAAATATTTTTCAATGATTCAAAAGATTAATTTATGAAAGGAATTCTTAATGAAGGAATTTATTGAGAAAGAACTACAGTATTTTCAAGACAAATCTCACTTGGTCTTCGATTCGGTATGTACTCCTGCGCCCTCGGGGTTTTCCCGTCGTCGCCGTCAAAGACTGTCGTATCTGTTTCGCCAGCAGTTCGTGACTCGGCAGGGCCTTCTTCCCCATTTCCCGACGTTTCCGAAGAAAAAGCTGTGGCTGCAAAAAGTGCTAAAACGACGAAAACACGCATCTTTTTCGCACTTGATTTCACGAAACGAGCCGAGCACCGGGTCCCGACGCACAGAAACGGCGGTTTGCTGAAACGGCAGGCGAAGAACTCGAGTTCGTCAGGATTACTTTTCCTCTTTTTCAAATGCACTCTCGCTTTTCAGAGTGGGATCAGATAACAATTTAACGGGACACGGGAAGGGCAGATAATCAGAGCTCCTTTAATTAATAAAGCCTGCTGCCATTTTTAATTGGGCGTGTCCGAATACGAACGGCATTTACGCACCCAATTGTACCCAATGATCGTGGTCACAATCGCGTACTTATTATTACACGTCTATAAAATTACAAGGCCTTGGCATGATTCGAAGAAAAACTTTTCATGAGTTAAATAAATTTAAAATAAATGAACAATGTATGTACAGTACCTAAATTTAGGGCGAGTCAGCGCATAACTCCTGAAAATCGAAACCAACGGAAAAAATATGATTCACTGAATATTCTTCGCGATAATTATGTGCGGTGCGAAGGTTCATTTCTACTCTTGAGCTAGCCGAAAAAATGTCCGATACGAACATTGCATGCATTTCCCTAAATAAATGATTATAAAACAATCAGTAATCGAAGCAAAGCTTTCGGGATGAAATTTTGATCCTCATCTCGAAACCACGCCCATAACTGAAAACAATGAAGCGTGGATAATGATGCCGCCACTATTTCAACTCTTCCGGAAAGTTATCAATGAACCATATTCACGCAGTTGTTTCCGTGTTCACGAAAATATGTGTTGAGTGACTTACGATTGGATTCTTGTATTCATATGAAAATACCAATGCACAGTATACGAGATGGTTGCGGAATTTCCAAGCATTTCAAGAAAAGGCGAATGTCTCTTAAAAAGATTGAAAATTTTTCCGACGCGTGGACATTTTTAAAAACGCCATTTTATCAAAATAAAGAAAACTAAAAATGTGATTTTGAAATTTTCGACAAACTTTACACGTCGCTTTTTGTGATTCTTCTAAAATACGAAAGTCATATTTCTTGATCAAAATTTGTCATATACCGTAGTTACCGTATAAAAAAAACTATTGGCGCACCTGGTGCACGAGTTTCTGCTGTATTAGATTAAGATGGAAGTTCCACTTCTTATTTCGTAAGACTCAGTGCCATAAAAAATAATCACATAGATCTATTTGTAATTCGTCAAAATCCTGAAGAAAAGTAGTGAGTAGTCCCTGAGATGTGGACGTGAGAACTTTTATTCTCAGACTGCATGTGCCCATCGATACATAGGATCATTGGACATAGGATCATTGGATCACTTTTTCCCATCGATTTCGACGGGAACATTTTCAGTCACTTGTCATGTTTTTTCTGTAAAAAAAAAAAAATTGGAAGAAATACTCCACGAACACTGACAAATATGTTTTAAAATTTTAACTCAGAAAATATCTGCAGAAGGAAAACAAATAGAATCTGCCCTTTCGGCGGAGTCCCAAGGGAAAAAAAAACAAGCCAAAATTTTAATTTACTGTACACAGTTGACGCAAAAAATATTAAAATGGGAAGTACAAAATTGACCTGAAGTGGAAAATCATTCAGAGGAAATTTAAAATATTTATTTTCTTTCTATATCCATTATGGCAGTACTGTATAGTAGCTCAATTCATTTATTAGAATATAGGATTAGATAGCAAAACTTTAAAAAAAGTTGTTGGCGACGTGACCATCCTTTCAAGAATTCTCCGAAATAAGTCCAGAGATGCCAGGGCACATTTCCTTGAGTTTGAAGTGTGCATAAGTCAGATAGTGTGCATTTCCACGTGGTGATCGAGGCCCAACTCTGATTTCGTTATACAGTACTGTACGTGGTCAACGAGCTGCTGGAAGCTTTTTCTGAACTGAAAGAATACAAGCGACAGTAGTTCAACTGTTCAAGTCATCCGTTGCGATTCATGAAAAAACTAAAATTATGTGGATAATCCTGCCTCGTCAGGGTCCATCGAACATTTCCTCAAGCTTATTTTCATAAATGCTGACTCGTCACGGTTAAATTAAATTTCAGGATAGATTTCAGGTGAGTTCAACGTTTCATTCCTGACTCCTGAATCCAGAGAGCTGAGACAGCAAATATTTCCTAGTGTTTTTCTCTGGAAATTTGCTGCCTCAGAAGAAGAAAAAAAACGACTTGCTCTGCGGATAATTCAGGATTCCCGAATGACGTAAATCTGATTACCTTAATTAGAACAATTAATCAGTACTTTAGCTAGTTCATACCTGAGGATTCTGGATACTATTAGGCCCCTTACATATTGCAGAAGAAACCTTCAAAATGGCTCGGTGGTTTCCCTCGTTGAAAAATCAATTCAAGAATATCTTGCCAATTAAGAATTCACCGGCGAAAATCCAGACGTGTTCTTCATGTTCCTCGAGTGTCGAACAAGTTCAAGTGAATGTTTTTGACCCGAAAACTCATTCGGGACGATATACGGACGTTTTTATCCATACGAAGGACGGTTTGCGGGGTTCTTTTTACCTGACACTCAATGGCACTGACGCAAAAGGAGCGTCACCTGATTCTAGCAAGAAAAACTCTTTGTTTCCTGCCGTGTACCTGATGCCAGATGACGCTGGTAGTCTGGCTCAAGAACAATTGCAAATTTTCGGGAATGAATTTCAGTGTAGACGAAGTTTCCCGACTCCAGATGGCGTGGATGACGTGAAATCAGTGGATTTGCTGGGGGCAGCTTTCCGGGATGAAACTGCGACGTTCGTTGATCACATAAAGGTAGGAATTTTTATTTATTCATTATTTGCATCTTTCTTGCGTTTTTGATCGCTTTTTTAATTTTGGTTTAGGTTACGATAAATGACGAACATGGGAAACGATCCAAAATATTCCCCGTGAAGAAACACATGAGAGCGTTCAACAAGATGACCTTCGATGCAGAGAAATGAGACTCTGGGAAATCATTGAGCTGATTTCATATGTCACGAATCTTTTGAGTGGATAAAGGCATATATATTCCGTCGATATGAGATGCGTTTTTACCCGCAGCGATTTTTGCTGTGATTGCTTCCATTTGTGGAGTTACGCAGGATTTCTACAATATTTATTTCATCTGAGGAGGGAATAATAAACTACCGAAGCATCTTACGATTCCTTCCCAGGCATGATTGTGAAAACTACAGCACAGTACAGTACAACAAAGCACCACTATGCAACAAATAACAATACAATTTTTTTTTTAATTTAACAAACTTTTTCTAGCTTAAAGCCCATAACTTGTAGTACAAGTTAAAGCGATCTTGCTTTAACAAACTCTCAAATTTCAGTACAAAAAACTTTATTCTGAAATGGTTGATACCATAGAATGCATAGATTATCTGGGCGGTAGGAATTTCCTAAGGCAGCTAGCACACTGAAAATGTCGATCCCAAATGTGACTGACAGATTCTTTTAGCATAGAAATTACCTATTATCAATAATAAACGAGCCAAATTTTTCAGAAGATGAATTTTTCAAGCACTAATAAAAATCTGAGAGTGCCAGAAAAGTAAGATCAAAATCCATCGAGTGCAAAAAGTCCATAGTACAGAAGCAAACATTCTTTCCAGTCATTAATTTTGAAAATCTTGTCATATGAAATTATTCAGTGCAACAAACTTGTTCTGAATCCTTCAAAAGTTTCTTGTGATGATATTTTATTGCATATACTGTATATCATACTGTAGAATATTACTATAAATTCAGCAGGAAGCCTAACACCCAAGATGGCGAAAAAGCCCTCAATTCCTCTTCTTTGTAGATGTCGCCAATGGAACAAACATTCCTTTCGCTAATAATATTTTCGTGAAGACTCTTTAAAGGATTACCGAGTTTTTTCTCCCACTTTTTGCATTCCGCTTTGGAAAATTTAACCATGTGGATTAAAATTACGTGGAAAGAGAAAATCATGAGCCGACCGCATGTTCGACCGAAATTATTCAGATAATGTTTCTGCGTAGTAAATGATTTCAGTTAATATGAAACGTCATCGAAGCGAAACATATAACGGGAACATGAGGGAAATGAATAAATTGCAAACGAAATTGGGAACGACGCAGAACGAATATTTCAGTGGTTTCGTGGTGGATATTGATCGAAAAAAATATGCTCTAGAATTGCTTCCGATTACGGACGTGCCAGCGAGGAAATTATTTCCGGGTTTTGTCCTTGATAATTTCGGTGGCACGCAATAAAGAGGCGTTTCTTGCTGAAATGCGGGCAGTTCATATAGAACCCCTCACAAATGTGAATGGCAGTAGAATTTGTTGCGCCGAACATTCTGGTGGCGTGGTTCTGTACCACGTATATTGGTTGCTGAAAATTTTCTTCATTATCCGACATTTGGAACAAGAGAAATCTCCTAGACACAAAAGCTGACCTGACCCGTCAATCCGTAACACGAATCTATATTTCCCAGACTTCTTCAATCCGCTGTAAGTAAATTCGTGGGACGTGCTAAACCGTTAGCTCAAAAGATTTCTATTGAAAGCGAGAATGCTGATTACATAGTGTGCTAAATTAAAAATTCCATGATCAGAATTAAAATATCTTAATTGAAAATTATTTTCTTTGGGAGGATAAAAACGATATTGTTCACGACATGCTTTCGCCGTTTTTTTTTTTATTTCACCGAAGTAAGATTTGTTGTTCAAACTTATAAGAAACGAACTTCTTCATAATGTTCTGCCTTTCACAGAAAACCAACCTCATTCAATGTCCAACAGTTTTTCATTGGAATCAGAAGGATCAACATATATTTTTAGGTTTAAATTAGGAAAATTCTTTTTTAATCATTCCTGAATTCCAACACGCTTTGAACTTTAAAAATGCATCAGAGCCTCAGAGGTGAAGTTCTGAAAGAGAGTACAGTGAGACCCCCACATGCGGACGCCTCAAACTGCAGACAATTCAACCTAGGGACACTTATTTTACCATTGAAAAATCACAAAAAAGTCCCGACATAGGGACATTTTGTGATAAAATTGAAAATAAATTTCAAGCAAATTTACATGAAACAGATGTTTCAAACCCTAAAATTGATGTAAGAAAAGTTCTTGGGCATTTCTCTCGCCAATTTACCATCTATTTAGCTAATTTAAAATAATTACCTCCAATGTAGATAATTATTCCTTCTCTCTTTTTCACTTGAATTTTATTTTTACAGAAAATGCCAACACTTCTATGTACTGTACAGATGAGGTATCAGTATTCAATTCCCCAAATCTTCGTATTGTGTTGAAATACATTGATTGAATCAGTTTAAATTGGGGGACAATTTTTATTTTCATGGAATTAGGGTGATTATTTTGAATATGAAACATCAATTAAAATTATATAATGTAAGTCTAAGGGAAAATGAGACTCGACTTAGGGACATTTCGACTTAGGGGCACTCTTGAAAGTCTTGATGCACCAATTATGTCCGCATCTCAGGGTCTCACTGTAATCCAGTATAGTGCGACCCCAAGATGCGTACGTAATTGGTGCTCAGGCAGTGTCCCTATGTCTGTGTACACATGTTGGACCTTGTTTTCCCAGCACAGACTCCAATATAAACTAATTTAATTGGTTCTCCAGTTCATCAGGAATGAGGAATAAAACCTCAAAAAATCAAATAAAATTTGTTTCTCAACTTAAAGATACAGAATAGAACTATTCAGAATAAAGAAAACCCCACAGAAAATGATTTTCTGACATCAAAAGGCCCAAAAAATGCAAACAAAAAGTATAAGTCTTGCTAAATCCTTGTGCACAGATGATGGAGAATACTAAAAAAATAAGCACAAAATTAACCTGTTTTTGATTATAAATTAAAGCAAATATATATTTAAATTCATTTTTAACTTCTGTGAATATAAAAGGCTCAATTTTTTTAAAGAGGTATTCAACTTCTGAAAATTTAGAATTTTCCATTTATCTCAAACTGCTGAAAAATTGTCCGCATGTCAAGATGTTGGGCCCAATTTTTTTTTAATTTTCAAGAATCCCAAAGTCAAATTGTTCAACTTTCAGGGTGTCCGCATTTCGGGGTCTCACTCAATCTCAGTTAAATAAATTATCGTATAATGAATTTCATGGACGAACAGCTGAGCAATATATTTTTGTTTGGTTGAAGTCAAAAAGATCAAAATGCTTCAGAGTGAAACCTTTTCATTTTGTGCGATTGAAAATTGAATAAAGCACGAAAAACTGCAGATTAAAAAAAATATGTATACAGTATACAGTATCATCATTGTAGGGGTAAAGAAACTTTAACTTTTCTCTTTCCAAGTTTTTCAAAATTCTATTTTTTTAAATAAGGAATAGTTTCCTCACTTCATACTTTTTTTCAGGACTTCTGAATAATCTGCGGAACAACGCATTATGCAGAGCGGGAAATTCGTCGTCCTCTGTTCCGTTTTATTCATCGCCTTCTGGGTACAAAAAAATCAAGTTCTTGCTGCTGCAGACAGAAACAGTAGGGGAAACAACGATCGACAAAATAGTGCGGAAAATTTCGGAAATGCTGGCAGTTCAGAAGAAATCACGCCGGGTCGATTTCAACAAGAAGTTGAACCCACTGGTACTAACCAGTGGGTTCAACAAGAACAAGCCACAGAGGAAACCCCTGTTGCTACGCCTTCAGAAAGCGATCCAGAATACGTGGCAGCAAGCTTCGCAAGAAAGAAAAGAAATGCTGCTTTTAAAACTTATGACGTCGAGAAATATGAATCAAACAGAAAAATTGACAATTTCAATATCCAGAGTCTCGTGGTGAGTTCTGCAGATTTGAGCAGGAAAAGGCGAAGCAACCTTTTTGTCAAAAATCAGCATCGCATGAAAGCTGATCCGAGTACGAGTGAAGACGGCGACACTTCGAATAGCAATAGTTTCGAAATTGACTCGACTGGTGTGAGGAGAAAACGCAAAATTTTCAAATCGGATTTCAATCGAGTAGCTGCAGATTCAAGTGGAGATGACACCAACAGCAACAGCGACGAGAAATCCGGGGTATTTTGAAACTCAAGTGGAAACAATCTATTGAGCTTATTTTGAATTCCACTGAAGACCTGTGCCTCTTTCATTCAAGTTTCTTTCAAATATTTCTTCGAAAAATGAAAAAGGAATTATACACGTTGAGGATATGTGATCCTCAAAATAAATTAAGAAAGTATTGTATCTTTTAATTGTCTTGCTCAGTGTTTGAAAAGTTCGTCTTTTTTGCGTTGCAAATTTTCTCAGCTTCCTTTGTCTTCCAAGATTTTATTTCGCTCATCGCGTTTTGTCTTTTTTTTTAAATAAAATGCGTTCTGCTTATCACGTCAAATATGGAAAAAAACTCTTTTCATTCTCATTTTTACGATCTTCGCCCCGTTTGGCTCTATTCCACTGCGCAATAAACCGAGGGTATTCAGCAGAAAAAGGGTTGTTTTATCGTTGAATTCCAATGGCAATGCTCTTCTGCATGAAAAACGCCGTTAAAAACGGGTTTCCGGACTTGCTTAATTCCTGTTTCATTTTTTAATGGAGATTGTTTCTTTTTGTCTGCCAGAAATCGGGTTCGTTTACCTTCAGGGGCATTTCTTTGAATTATTGAATATCATTTGCGATGCTATCGATTTTGCTGTCTATTCTTCGTGTTGTTCGCCTTGTTCCATTTGGGAAAATTAATGGCAGTCTACTGTACATATAGTAGTACCCCGTCACAGCACAGTTGTATGAATCGCAGAAGATCAATAAATGCACTAGCTGGCACTGTCGAAAATCGATGGTCCGCTTTTAGTTGTCGATTGCCACGGCAACGATATCATCCATCCTTGAAAACGAAAAGAATGAAAAATAAATCAATACTCTGATAGTCTAGGGAAAAAAAAGAATTTTGGAATAAATTTCAAAATAATAACAGCAAAATAAAGCGAGTTGATGATGACTTTGACTGGCAAAGACTAACTATATGCAGATGCGATGTATTTACTGCATTGCGTTTATAAAGAAAACATTGAAAACATGGAAAGGATGAATCTTGAAATTCGAAAACAATGTAATCGTCATTCCATCGAAGTACAAGGGCGTACCTCATTAATTGTGTACCCCTTAGAATTTTTTTTTAAATATGTCTTATTAGTGCTCGAAACAGAATTTATGGACGTAACCGGAGGAATGTAGAAGTCATCAATATAAGGTGGTGTACCTCTACTGTATTTCCGCTTCTTTACTATATTATGATCCATTATCTGCAGTGTATGAAACAAGCCTGAGTCAACAAGAAGTTGAATCAACCACTCTCCAATTGTATTTTCAAAATCTAATATTAATTTCGTTATCAGAAACATCAAAGAATTGTTGAATCAAGCTTCGTGTTTCCTTCTTTAATTTAGGTCGTCTGAATAAATGGCTATACACTCGAATGAATTGAGGGTTCTTCATCCCCTCGAGAATTTCAAATTATACTCAGATATATTCCCCACATTTCTTCAATTATAACAATATATTTCTACAGTTTTAAACAAAAATACATACCATAAATGATAATCGGCTTCCTCGTTGGTAACTAGTAAAATCCATGATGAATTTTCCCGAGTCTCTGCTCCACGTTCACCTAGTTTTATTTTATTTTATTTTTTTTTAAACCTGAATATAACAAAATGAGCCCCCAGCAGAAAGGTCCCATGAGGACACATTTCTTCAGAACCATTCATTCGTCGTCCTGAGTTTGGTGTTTCAAAACAAAGAGCGAGATTTAAGCCTGTGTCATTTGTTAAGAAGCCCATGGACCCCAAAAGTAATTTTGCTGTTTATTAATTCACACATAAAGAGGACGTAATCAATGTCGAATTTTTTGCCTTAATTTGCTTTGTATTGAACATGTGATATCTTATGTTCAATTCAAGTCAAAATTCGGATTCCGATTTATTTTATTTTTGAAATATCGAAAGTCAAAAAATTCGATGCAATTCTATTTTTACTCGGGGATAGCTTTTTATTCAAATTTTATGCTGAAAATTAGAGATGCAGGTTTTACTTCTGGGCACATGGTACAGTACAGTACAGTACTTGAGTATATATATACTGTATATGGCATATTCCGAAACACTTTTATGGTTTTCAAGTGTTGGCAAGATTCGTGGAATTTGGCCTGGAGAATAAAAAAAAAATGTGCTAGCTAGAGAAAATAGAGACATACAATGCTGGTCGTAAAATGGGACCCCAGCAAGGTCCCAAGGTACGGTATATGACATGATTTACGAGCTTTCTTTCTCAGAAGCCAACAGAAACCGGTCTCAGACTAGCTTCTGCTTTGATCCAAGAACCGCCAATGAAGCCAAGCCTCAGTCTTTGACAAGACGCCGGGACTTCTTGACCTATTGCCGTGTTCTCATTCTATTCGTTTTTCTTTCATCTGCTGTGTAAAGAAGGCATTTTTGACTTTCGCAAATTTATTTGTGCGTGAAATGGTGGTAGTTGCGTGTTTTGAGTGCTAATTTTTCAGTGGATGGACCAGTTGAGCTGGGGGATCTGTCGAAACTCGTCCTGGTCAGATTTCAATAACGACATTTACATGATAGAACTTGTTAGAAGTTAGTCCGATGCAGTATTATTGGGAATCCTTTTCTGCGCTGTTTTGAGCGTTGGTCGCTGTTCGGATGAAGAAAGCATAGACTTTTAGTTCGCAATTTTTTATGAATTCGCTGATTACGTAATCTTGACAGAATTGCCCCAAGAACTTCTGACACTATCCTCCAAATTTATTTAATTTTTGTCCTGATTTGGCGCTGTAAAAAGGACCGAGATTTAATCCAGCGCCAATCTGGAATAAACATGATTAAACTGCCATTATATAGGGATTTTGTGCGCTTAGTTTATTCATTAAGCGGACGAATTTAATGACGAACTTTTCACATAGATTTGCCTTCTATGTCACGATTAAACCATCATTGGTTACTTCAATAATAATTATTCATTCGATTTTAGCAATGCTTGCTCCGGTTTTATGCGAGGTCGCATATTGTCCATTTAATAAGGTGAGCCAAGAATATTAATGGCTTCGTGAGCCGTTAAAGAAAAAAGGTTCCACCATGTTTGTGGGCCGAAAATTAATCTTGAGTCAGCATGGAAAATGTCGTTTGTTTCGGCAAATTTTGGTCAGAAACGGACCGGAAACGATTTTTATGATTTCCTTTACGCTCATAACGGAAGTCCGTTACCCAAAGAGTGGGTTACTGGGTCGGGCTTTCTGGTAGCTGTTGTCCTGTGCGAAAGATCGAACTTTTCGGCGCAGTCGCCAATGAGACGTCGGGAAGCGTGTCGTCGTCGTCGGTTTCTTCGTGCTTTTTTTTCGCCAACAATTATGTCTGTCGTTTTGCCGATATATCTATGCTTTATTCACAAGTGCCATTCGAAATTATCTTTACTCGAATCTCGTCCGTGTATATCATGCATTCGTGTTTGTACAGGTTGGTGTGGATTGTCTGGCGCGATTCAGAGGAAGTGGTGTTGCGAGGGATTTCTTCCTTTTTTTCCGGGAATGTGTGCATAAATCTGGGGATATCAGCGCGTGCAAAAGTTTGGTGCTTTGCCAGCAGAAGCCGGAATTGTTCGCATCTGGACGATGACGCTTGTCATTCGAGAAGTCGCTCTTTTCTGAACTCGTGTCATGAATGGAAATTTGAGAATTTTTATAAATGTGAAATAAGAAAACCGGCTCGATGGTGAATGGTATAACGAATGAAATAAGGCTGCAACAAACTTCAAGAGGGGACCCTTTATTTGAAACGCTTAGTTTTTAAAGATTAATAAAAAATTCAATTTTTCTTGAAATTGGAGATTAATTTCTCGAAGTGTGAGTTTTTCATGGGAGACCCTTCGAAAAGCTTCTTATAATGAAAGTAATCAACAAAAGCCATTTTCTCCTTTAATCCTTTAATATTATAGATTAATTTCTCGAAGTGTGAGTTTTTTATGGGAGAAGCATAATTAAATTGCAGCAGAACACTATCAAACATAAATTACGCAGCAGAAAAGATCGAAAATGTTGTCAAACCGAAAGCATTAGTCTCCGGTAAAAAAAATCTATCAGAAGTTATTATTGAATTACTGTATTCTGCAACGGTTCATCACCTTTTTTTTACCTCGCGAAGTGTGACGGAAAATTGATGGCAAAAACCTTCGAATTTCCACATGAAACTATCCACTCATTCGTTTCCCAAATTTGAAACCTGTAATGCATCCATTGTTATGTTACAAAAGAACTTGTTTATGCAAGGTAGCTAGTGCTGAAAAAATCGATGTGAGGGTAGATTAGAAAAATTTTCTTCGTTCAATAGTTCATCTGTGCACATAACCGGTCACTTTCTATTCAATTTCCGTTCTCTTTTTTTAGGTTACCTTCGCCTTTACGAACAACTCCAACTTGAAAAAAGATATATTCACTATTATGTACATCACCTGGCGGGTAGTCCCCAAGTACCACGGTTATAAAGCTTTTTTTTATTCAACCAAGGAAACTTGATCTCTTAGAAAATATGGCGAGAATATTTGACGAAACCAGAATAGGTTTTTTCTGGTCAATCATTTTGACATGCAGGCTTCGTCCAATACGATATGCGAGACAAAAATTAGCAAAAGTCTATGGCCGTTCTGCGAAGGAACCGCTTTCTGAGCTTGATGTTGAACACGTAACGACAGCTAAATCATATTTTATTCAAGTTCTACTGAGTGGATTTTGAAGACGCATGCATAAATTATTATTTTCACCTTTTTCCTCGCACGCTATAGTCGGAAGCGAAATTCCATGATGAGCACTTGTCGTGTTCAGTTCCATTTTTTTGGGGGCATGATTTGCCGAAAGGCTACATGAGGATTTTTTTTTAAACCAAGTTACATGCTCCAGCTTCTATATGTTTTCCTTCTGCACTACGCAATTTGAATTCATAAAAAAGGAAAGTGCACAAAAATCCATGCAAAAAAAATAACGAGCAGCTGGTGATGCAGAATTCATTTCTGAACTTAGAATGAACACCAAAAATAGGATAGCTAAGTTATCACAAGAAAAAATACGTACCAACGTAGAGTATTTTAGAACTAAGGAATTTTTCGAGTTAGTAGATAAACTGCTGCTTTCTGAATTCGGCTCTTCAAGTTTCCGATTTTCATGAACATTAATATGGATATATTTCCGTCAATTCGCTTTTATTTAACCGGCATTAAATTGACCGAGCCCAAATATCCACGTAAATAGAATAAAAACCATATGCTTCCGTCACCAATTCAATTTTAGAATTTTAAAAAATTTAATTTTACGGATCAGTATCCTGTGAGATTTTCAGAAGTTTCGGCTGTTTTGTGTCGGGTCACTCTTGAAATCCCTTCGAAAGTATTTCGTATTATATAATCTTATGTCAATGAACCTCGTCATAAAGAATTCTTGCTTTCACAAAAATTGTTTACATCCCAGAAAAAGAAAACCACTATATCTCTGATCCTAAAGATGCAGAGTACAATATTTCATTAGAAAGAATGTCGTCCCGATCGCTTCTTTGAAACGAGATTATTTTTTACCGGGTTCAATAATCCGGAGAAAAACCTGATACTTACTGTGAATCTTAATCCAGAGTTTCACTGTTCTAATATTTTACTGGCATATATCCTTCCTTTGCAGAAAAATTGTTGAGCTCATTGTAGAGGAATTTCGGTCACTTTTCGCGTCGGATCCAACGTTCCTACAACAGTAAGAAAAAATCCAAATAAAAATGCCTATGACAAATCGTAGCCAGGCGCTGGCAAATAACCGGAAACCGGAAAAATTTTCCGACGAAGAACCGGAAATCATCGCGGCTCTGCTTCCCAAAACAACACCCGCCAGCAGCACGGGCTCATCCTCCAACGATTCGACCAATCAGCTGGGCAAACAACGCCTTCATCAACTCCGAACAAATGCAAAGCAACCCGCGGGTTTCATCAACAAAGTTCCTCAGCAACCCAAAGCTAACAAGTTCGGAGATGACGAACAGCAGCAACAACAACAACAGCAGCGAGTCGCCGGCATCAGGGACAAGCTTGGAGCTGACACTGGCCGCAGTAGACAACGATCCACTGACAATGACGACGGCATTGACGGTGACGTGTTTGATGACACTGCTGGCAACAGCCGTCAGCATCCGAGAATCAAACGGGTCTCGTCACTGCCTGGCTCTGCTGCTCGGGTGCGACGAGTCTCGTCACCGACTTTTGTTCCCACTGGAGAGTTTGCCAATCAGCACCAATCGACAGCAAACGAGTGAGCCATCTATATTGAGCTGATGTCGCAATTATTTATCTCACCATGCTATTGAGCAGTGTTCCCCAAACCATGGTCTGCAGATTGGCACTGGTCCACAGAAGGATTTTGCCAGTCTGCAGGAAATTTTCACATAATAAATTCATCATAAGTAGGGATTAAGTATGCTATTTTCATCTAAAATTTTTAAATGACAATGCCGGTTTAAATTATCTGATGACAAATAAAAGTTGGCTTTTCTCCTAATAGCACTCTAAATAAATTTTTACCTGCAGAAATAAATTATTTTAATTTTTTTGTTCTTAGAAACCTTTCTTCAAGCCCACCTTTCTATTTTTTTATGACATTCAGCTATAGCTGCTTAATTGGTGCTTAACTGAATTTTTGCAGAGATGAAGCAGAAACTTTTAAAAATCTGCCATAAAGTCTTCCCAGCAAAACTTCTGTGAGTTTGATGACATTTTATGAAACTTTGCTGGTCTCCAAAATCATTATGGGAATTTGTCAGTCCCTAAAAACTTTTATGAAACGCTGCTGGTCTGCGTGCTTAAAAAGGTTGGGGAACACTAATATTGAGAAATGGGTGAATACCGGGACCACACAAATTTCCCTATAAAGATGAGGAGGTTGTCCAAGACATGATTGCTGCTGCACAGAGTCCACTTCTGTGCCATATACAGGTGTACAGTGGCCCCACGCCTAACAGACCTCCCGTGTAAGGGATTTTTGCCAAACAGACCAGCTCTGCNGATGAGGAACAGCCCACTATGGTTGAAGAACAACCCACTGTAGTTGAGCGCCCAACAGACAAAATCCGCCAAACAGACTTCTTTTAGTTTAAAATTAGTGTTGAAAATTGAAATTTTAAATTTTTTATGTAATTGAATTTGTGCAAAGGACTTTTTGTCCAACAGACTTGTCCATTGCACAAATCAAGTCTGTTAGACTGGGGTTGACTGTACTCTCTATGCAACAAAATTCAAGGGTCCCAAAACATTTTGTAGCAGAGAATTGCTATCACATGGGATGAGAACCCTATGGAAAGAAAATTATGAACTGAAAGTAACAAATACATTAGGTGCATTCTTCAGTTCTAGCAAAACCTGTCTTTTTTCCTTTCAGGTTCATGAAGAGGTTAACCAAGATGAGTTAGTTTAGAAGCTCAGAAATGGCAGTGCGTGTCTTATGCAAAGATTAATGGTATTCAAGCGAAGATGGTATGCAATAAAAAATTACCAGGTTGGTCAGAACAAATCTGGTTGAGTTGGTCATTGGTCATGACTTGGCACTTGGTTAGTTTCAGTTAATTTAATTTGTATCAGTGCCGAGAGGTTTATCTAGTTGTGTCATGTATTTTCTTTTAAATCTGTTGGTTACCTTATACTAGCTGCTAGGTTAGTTTGGCGTCGACTGCCGAGTTGTTATTTTAGAGCTAATCTAATGAGTGTGAAATTAAGTACATTAAATGTATTCGGCTAGAATAGTTTGGTGTAGCTTTTAAGGTAGGGTGGTGCAAGGCTTTTTTCTTTTCTTTTAGGTTAGCATGTCAAATCAGTCAAGTTCAGTATATACAGTAGTCAGTTCGGTTTTATACAATATCAGGTTAGTTATATTTAAAAAAAATGCTAGCTTTCGACATATGAACAGCAGTAAGAAGTAAAAATTAAAAATCGAGTCAGGTGAAACAAGAAAGCTCGAAATATGTACTGCGCACTAAATTAAAGCCACGCTTCTCCAGTTATTCGCGTGATTAATCTCTGAACCAGGACTCTACAAAGACGGCTATTCAATTACACCAGAAGAGGAATGATGATACTCGAACAAGATCTGATTCACGGATGAGTTCGTAATAATTGTATCAGAGAATCAGCTGGGGAGGAAAACCTGTCTAGATCAGAAAAAACAAACGAGTTGTTCTGTTGGATTTTAATCTGCTCGTCAGGCGACTTTCTGATTATATGTCCGTGTCGGGGTCCATTTATCATCACAGTTCATCATGTTCTCGCAGGTAGCTTTGAGAGACTTTGGGTCTCCTGGTATGATGAAATTCGTTTTAGGATAAGTGCTTCATTATAACCCAGTCTATTCAGAACACCAACACAAATTATAGCTGAATATTGTAGGCCACGAATGACTGCAGAAGTCTAAATCAATTTTTGTTTCGCTTCACTGTATAGGCGCAGCAGGTGTAAGATTATGATCGTTGATCGTCTCAGAGAGATTTTGCTGTAAACAGATAAAAATTTGAGATACGTCGCGTACATTATAAAAAAAAATTTCTATAAAAAAATACAAATTCAGTGCATCCGAAGCTATAGTTCATTGACACCACGTCTTTTCAAAATAAACAAAGAGCTTCCCAGAAATTGCTACAGCATTTAGAAGATAGCGTCTTGCTTGTAGTTTCCAATTTATCTGTACATGTTTTTGACGTTTATTAAAAAAAACGACGCAATGTCACTACTTTTTTTGCTGCTTCGGTACCACAAAAATTCCAATAAACTGCAGCAGAGCGATTTTGTGCTCATCTGCATTAAAATTCGGAATTAAAATTCGAAATACATCAGAAGAGCGAACTAGCAAAATACCTGTATTTTTAAATGAAGTACAATTTCGATTCCGGTACTTCAGCTGATGGTCGGATGTCTTTGTCCGGAACATCGAATATTTAGGATAATTTTCGAATAATTATGCACAATTGTACTCATATGCGTTGAAAAATGCCTGCTGGAACGACCTACATTTTATGTTTGCAAATTGAAGGCATTCCCGCGAAAAAAAGTTTACATTTATTGTTTTCTCTCGATGAACCAGATCCAGATGTTCAAGCGCAGCTAATCTGTTGAGCTGGGATAATTCTACTTGTATAGCCATATTCAAAACCTTTCTGAGGATTTGATTATTATACTGCATTTTACTTCTGTCATTTTAGATACCAGGGTAATTCTAGGGGACGTTCAGCACTTGCCGGAAACCGCCGCTATCAATGTGCTAGTGCCAATTCTAGTCCACTGCGCAACAGAACTTCAGTGAGTCCCAACCCTGTCCTGTACCAACAACATGCCAGTGACACCGCTTACGTCCCTCAATACCCCACTCGTCCAATATCACCCACCATTTTACTTCGACACGACGACGTGAATAGGTGAGTGAAAGGATTCATTATCAGAATTTATTTTTACTCGAGAGAGAGAGAATTCCGATTTCTTTGAATTGAAGACGGAAGATTAAACGGGGGTTCATTCCACACCCTTCTCCAGTCATTGTGTTTATGTCAGAAGATCAATCGATGTAGGGGTATCAAGAAAGATTATCGATCTTCAGGGTCAATTTGTTCGCGTAAACATAGACCACACCCGAGAAATATTTCAGGGAAAAGAATTGTGCAACTGCTTCGAAAACCTTTTTTTTTTTTAATTCGACCTTCACATGAATAAAACCTGCAAAATTTCTCGTAAAAATTGAAATTCGAAGAATGATGAAAATTTTCAGAACCGGAATCATTTCATAGGGGGGAAGTAAACCAGTTCCCGGAAGTCTTCCAATTCACATAAATATGTCCTTATTTTGATATCCATAAGTATAGGCTGCACAGAGAAATGAAAATTCGATGCAGCCATCAGACACTCAAAATTTTAAATGTAATTTTATTTTATGCAAATTTTTTTTTTGACCCACATTTTCAGCCTGCCAGGCAGATTTTTTTTTAATAAAAAAAACATTTCTAGGAGGCGAACTGCTTTTCTGTCACAGTAAACTTCCACTAGCAAAGTTTCTGAAGCATATTTTTATCTTTTGAATGAAAAAATACGGAATTTATTTGATGACAAAATTCAGGATTGAGGTCTGGGAACACAATTTCAAGATTTTTTTCCAAATAAAATTGAATGGAGTCATCAAATGTTTCTATAGCGTATGCAAATCCTACCCATTCTCCATAACTAAACATAATTACGTTTCGGGATTACAAAAAATGTGTCAATGCTCTTGCAGCAGACGACAAAAAAATTGGGCAAGTTTTTCCCGCAATGCAATTCATGTCGCGAATATTTCAACGGATACATTAAATTCGATACGCTAGCTTTGGAGAACCCGAATTCCCCGACGAATTTAGTCTTTCATTTCGTATCTGTGTGGGAATCTCGGAAAACCTTGGTTCCCACAGATGGTCAGCAGCCTTCAAGGCTTTAATTCATTACAGATGTCCTTCTACAGCCTTCAAGGCTGTATTTTGTTACTAATTTCCGTTTGCCGTTTTTCGTCCTTGGAGGACAGTTTTCCTGTTTTCCAAACCCATCTTTTTTCAGCAGTCCGAATCGTCGAGTCGATAGCGAACGTTCTTCGAGATTTTCGCGAGATCTTGTGTGTGTTTCGATATATACCAACGTTAAAATAGGGTGTTTTGCACCCCGGTCGTAGCCCGACCGAATTCTTGTGTTTTATTTAAAACTTCACTTTACAAACTTTCAATCCCAAATTCTAATCTTACCTTGTCGGGATTTATTCCCAACATTTATTGCCAACCGAGCGATTTCAAGGAAAAAAGTTGTAAGTCACTCCCTCGATATTCAACGTACATCAGGACATGTAAAAGATAAAACGCCCCTGAGAAAACTCCAGAAAAGTAATTCACGTACAGTACATTAGTGGAAAAAAGTTACTCAAACAAATCACTATGCGCAACAAATATATCCGGTTTATACTTTTTCCTGAACAAGAAATTAAATAAAAAATTATTATTTTAAAAATAGAGTACAGTATTTCAGTGCAAGAATTATTTAAAACCTCACTTGACAACTTTTAATCCTAAATTCTAATCTTACATTGTCGGGATTTATTCCCAACAAAATTGGTAGCAGAGCGTGGTTTCACGTCTCTTCGTAACAAATAATATCAGAAAAATTTCTTATCAAATTATAGTTACCTCCTTCCTTATAAATCTAGAAATTCTTCTTGAACTACTAAAAAGAGATATACTCATTCCCTTTCCTATTCAAAAGAACCAAGTGTGAATTTCTCCCAAGTGTGTGTGTGTGCTTGAATTCTTGATTCTCAGTGTATATTCAAATTCCCCAAGTGTATGTGAATTCATTCCAATTTCTCAGTGTATATCTCAATTCTCTATTGTACTCCCAATTTACAAAATCATTCTCGGGAGAAAAAGTGTACATTTGTTCAAATCTGTAGACAACTCTCTACTCTGTGTGTATATTCAAAGTCCTAAATTGCCTAAGAAAACTCAAATAGTTCAATCCAAAAAGAACATCACCCTAAAAAATGGCACGAGGAAGGCCAAGAGGGTCCAGAACTCCTAGAAATTCTACCGTTAGAAGTATTACGAGACCTCAAAGGTCAACAAATCTAAATCGTTTACAAACTACACCCTCTCGAAGATCCACTAATAATAGAATCTCCAACCCTAAAGGAGACCTCATCTCAAAATTATTTTTTGTATCGAGAGCTGTGAGTGCAGGAGATTTAAGCCTTTCTGAAAAGAATCCAGAAATCCAACTCAACTATGCCAACGAAGCACTTAGCACTTTCATTGAATTTCTATCCACCTTCGAATCTTCAAATCTAGAATTCCTCTCACCGGAAGAATCTGA